AGTGTCCACACTGAATAGAAGAGTGCCACACAGTAAACTGTGTGGAACTGAATTCATCTGCCTCAGAGGATGAAGGATTGAGTCAAATAACCTGATGTTTAGACCACTGAGGAATCCCCTCAAGCACAATGTACCATTGTATTCTACAGCAATGAATGAACCACAGCAATGATATCAGTATTTATCTTGCATAGAGTTCACTATAAAGAGTTTGTTGCAAAGTAATAAATACTTTTCATCAACATAACCCTAAGCCTACTGCATAGAAGGTGATCCATCTTGCTCTTTATGTATAGGGATTGGAATACTGTAATTTCACTATTTTTATTTTTTCCATTTAATCTTCATTGCTTAAAACTATATTTTTGCTGATGCTAATTTAGAGCAGATATGATACTTCAGGAAACTTAATTTCTCCTGCAGTAGCTTTTCAGTATTATCAAACTGGGATGCTTTGGTATTTCTTAAAGGTGGCAGTTCTGGGTTGTTAACCAAGAAAAAAAACTGGAGGCAGAAAAAAAGAAAAAATATCTAAGAAACAGTGAGTGGAATAAGGAAAGATTTTGATGTGATGAAGTTTTAATTTGGAAAGTGACAGTATGGGGGAAGAAGCCTTTGAATGTTTTTGCCAGAGTGCATAGGGACTGTCCAGTCACTATCTTCTCTCATTCCCACTTTCCCATGAAATTCAGTAGTATTTCCCTTATGAGGTCCTCCTTAGGATCTTGAAATGTATTATCTCTACATTATCATCAGATGAAAGATTCAGGAAATTTGAGAGATGCAATTGTATTGTACCTTTTCACTTGATGAATTCTAGGATAGCATTTCTTTCTTTCTCTTGTGTCTTGGCATCAAGAGTCCATGTGAGATGGAGTGGAAGCAAAGAACATCAGATCAGCTGAATCTAAAATGTGTGGTGTAAGGCGGGGAGGGAGTGTGTTTGTCAGTGCAATCAGTAATCTCTTGGCCTTTGGCATACCCATATAAATCTTGCAGTTGATGTAATACTAAAATAAAGTTGTTTATCTTCTTAGTGAAACATAAAATGTGTTGGCTTTTAGCCCAACAGAACCAGAATATGGCAGTTCTGAGAAACCTATGCTGTATGGGGTTAGAAATTAATATCTGGAATGATTTTTGTTTAATTTTCTAGGTATTGTGGGCTTGATACCAATACATTAACCTCTTCAATGGTGGGATTCATGGTGACCACTAGATGTTCATTTCATGGGCCCATCAAATTTCCTCAGAATCCACTGGGTGCTTTAGGAGTGGAGAAGATAGGCCGATCCAGTTTGCACTACTGACTAGCCTTATTTCTACCTAAACTTCACCAGAAACCAGCTGGATTACATCACAACACCCTTATTGATGGCTGTTTCTTAGACAGTCCAGTACTGGAAATGTTTGAGAGAGTAGCATGTGCTACTGGGTTATCAACTCATGTCTTTGTAACACCAACCACAAAAACACCAATAAGCCTACCTGATGATTTTAAGAGATGTCTTCAGAAGCTGCAGTAATGTCTTTACCTTTCTTTCCACCTTGATCCAATGTACTTTTGTTTTAAGGACGGTCCACCTATGTTCATGTCAATAAATGATTTCCCATTTAATTGGTGAAAGATTTCTATGATAGATACCAAAGTTTCTATTGTTACAATGAAATGTCAAACATTTTTCTAATGCCACTTTTGCCTAATGGTCAGATTCAATACCATGCCTCTGGCTTTATATAGCTATCTTGGCATTTAAATTACTTGTTTGTTTCATATGCAATAAAAAACTGTTGTAAACAAATCACTATACACCACTATCACGAACTGAACTTGTCAAACTTAAAAACTTGCCAGTTACCTCAGGTAACTGGCAAGTCTACAGCAGAAGTGCTACAGCCGCGCAGCTGTGTCACCGTAGTGCGTCTGCTGAAGATGCTCTCAGCCTACGGGAGAGGGCACTCCTGTTGACTTAATTACTCCACCTTCGCGAGAGGCCGTAGCTATGTTGGCGGGAGAAGCTCTCCTGACACCATAGCGTTGTCTATACCAGCACTTAGGTCAGTTTACTTACGTCGCTCGGGGTATGGATCATTTACACCCTGGAGCGATGTAAATTATACGGAAGTAAGTGGTAGTGTAGCCAAAAATCATTTTTTATCTGGGTATCTGCAGTATTCTGGATTTTCCCGGTAATAACTATAGAGAAGGTTAGGTAATATTGCAAGTACCGAGGTAAGTTGTATATATTTATCTAAGACAAAATAAGCATGATTTTAAAGGTGACCAGTGTAAATGGCAAAGGTGCAGAGTCAGGAATAGAACTCGGGAACTTCTGCTCCCAAAACAGAAGTCCCTAACATTTTGAGCTAAAGATAAATCTCTCTTAGCTGTCAATACAAGTATTAATGCATATATATAGGCTAGTCACAAGAACATATATATATATAGAGAGAGAGAGAGAGAGTGTGTATGTTCTTGTGACTAGCCGCCATAGAGCAACAGAATTCTAAGCACTCGAAAAAAGTCTTTCTCAATCTGTCAAGTGGAGAAGCGGAAGATGCACATGTGTTTGCGCACCCATGCATGCACAATCACAAACCAGTACATTACACTTCACTGCGGGAATGCTAATACCTGCTTTAGCTTAGATTGCTCTAAAGTTTATCAGATTTGTAACGATTGCAATCAATATTGGGCTTAAAGTAAATAAACTGCAAGGGTTTCTGAGAAACTCCAGTAGAGCAACTAACGTTAGCATCTCATTTGCAGTCAACAGCCTTGGCTCACCCACCCATCTCTGTGCACAAGACACTGAAACAGGTTTTGACTGTCTAAGAACACATTGATACACATTCACTTTTCCGGACCAGCCTGCGTTAATGTCAATGAAATGCCCACGGTGATCCACAAGCGCCTGAGAACCATAGAGAAATGCCCCTTCTGATTAACGTACTCGGAGGCTAGGTGGGCTGGTGCCAGAATTGGCATATGCGTCCCATCTAGTGCCCCTCCGCAGTTAGGAAAACCCATTTGTGCAAAGTCCACACAATGTCATGCCCGTTACCCAGAGTCATGGTTCTTCTGAGCAGGATGCGATTAATGGCCCTGCAAACTTGTATCAACACTATTCCAACGGTCGACTTTTCCACACCAAACTGGTTAGTGACCGAACGGTAGCTGTCTGGAGTTGCCAGCTTTCAGATTGCAATAGCCACCCAGTTCTCCACCGGCAAGGCAGCTCTCAATCTTGTATCCTTGCGCCGCAGGGTGGGGGCGAGCTCCTCACACAGTCCATGAAAGTGCCTTTTCTCACGTGAAGGTTGTGCAGCCACTGCTCATCAGCCAGACTTGCATGACGATGCAATCCCACCACTCAGTGCTTGTTTCCCGAGCCCAAAAGCGGCATTCCACTGCGGTGAGCATCTCCGTGAATGCCACAAGCAAACTCGTGTCATCTGCGTTATGCGAGTCGACATCATCATCGGACTCCTCGCTGTCAGTTTGTAGCTTAAGGAGTAACTCGACTGCCGTTCGTGACGTGCTGATGAGACCCATCAGCATATTTCTCAGCACTTCAGGATCCATTCCCGCAGACCGAAAGGGAAGACAGAGCGTGCAGTACAAAAAACATTGAAACATGGCGCCAAATGTGGACAGAAGCACAGGGATTGCTGGGATGCGAAGCGATGCATCATGGGGTGTTGGGACAGGACTCAGAATGCCCTGGCCCCCGCCGCTCCCTTCCCACAAGCCACAGCACCAGAATGGGAAGAGGTGCTCCGTTGGATAGCTGCCCATAATGCACCGCTGCAAGTGCTGCAAATGTGGCCACACTAGTGCGCTTGCAGCTGACAGTGTGAACACACTGCAGCGCTTTCCCTACTGCGCTCTCCGAGGGCTGGTTTAACTCGCAGTACTCTACATCTGCAACTGTAGCCATGCCTTTAGAAGCACAAACTGAATTATATAGGTGGAGGGAAATTAAGATGGTGCTTGCTAGTGATGGAAACCTCTAAGCATTTGAGTGCAAGTCCTCTGTTCCCACCATATGTCAGACCAGCCATGGAGCTAAGATTGCCCCCTGCCCCTTCCACTATAAGTATTACCAGTTTGCTCCTTATTGTCTGACTGACTGGCTAAGGAATGTTGGTTACATTTGGTAGGAGTTACTTGCTCTGTAAAAATGGCGCCAATACCATTCAGTGAATTGGCAAGCAAGAGACTATTGTAAGTAAATTCGTCATTCAAATAGGCCGACAGTTCATTATACCTTGGCTTCACTGAAATGGAGATTCCTGACCTGAATCTGCTCCAACTTACTTCAGTGTAAATCAGGACAAACTCCATAGAAGTTAATAGAATTACACTGGTGTGAGAACAGAATCCGGACCTGTGGGGGCACAAGATTGTTTCTACTCGGGCTTCTGATTGTCCCATTGTTCTACCACTCGTTTATATAACAGGTAGAAGTTAAAGTCTCAACTTGCTTTCTTTAAAGTGACTGGAAGAGAGGAGTTTTGCCATTGACTTCAGTGGGAGCAAGGTTAGCTTCTGCATTGCTAATAGTAAAGCATTAGGCAACCAGTTTAATATCATTGTGTAAATGTAATTAGATCAGTATGTGCAGTATTTTACCTTTCCTCAGGGAGTTGCACACAGTACCTTGACTGGAAGAGGTGACAGATTTAACCTGATTGAATCATTAAATGGAAATATAAGTCAATGAACATTAGCCACTTAGTTCATTTCATAAATTCTAATAATTAAAACTGCATGTACAATAATAAAGACTATTCCAGATATCTAAAAGGATAAAAATGCATCCTTGATGTGTCATGGCACCGCCATAATGAAAACATTAGTTAATGGAGGATCTGTGTAATAAAAGTGACCATACAGAACCTGCAGGTGGAAATATACAAACACATTTCCCAAAAGAATTTCACCACTTCACAATTCATTATGAAAATCTGCAATAACTGACAAGATAGGCACAAAATGGATTTTCATGTTGCTGGGATGAATTATGGCTCCCAGCAATTAATGTTTTTAGTCATATTAAGCAGATAAATAATGCTATTTGACATTACAGTATTTCACATTACACTAAAATTTTGTAACATTTGCTCATAATCGAACTTGAAATATGTTACCTAGAAAAAATATGTTATCTCTGGAACAGTCAAACCCCATTAGAAACCTTAGGCTTGAAAAAATCACAATGTTAACAGTTATATCCCCTAGCAAAGGTTTGCTTTCCTTAAATAGTGTTAAATTTAAACCCAGAAGCTCTAGTCTATTTTAGAGTTACTCTTTCTTAGTACATTGAGGTTGAAAGGAGGATTTAGTACACAAAATGTACTCTGTATTACTGAGCCTTGGTAAGTAAAACTTAAAAACTGCAGAAAGAATGAATGAAGTTGTAAGCTGTCTTTCTAAATACCTTTTAAATATTTTATAAAGCAAAATGTAAATGTGCATGGTCATGTTAAGGTTATTCACTAATATTGATTAGCTAATTATTTTAATCTAGTTTTAATCAGGCGATGATTTTTTTCCACAAATGGACATATTAAAATCTATTTAACATTTTCATTTATTTTATTTAAATCTTTCTGTAAAATTTCATAGGCCTAAGCTTACAGGCTATACTCATGTGAGTAATCTCACTGACTTCAATGGAGCCTACTTTTGTATTTGGATATTACATGAATAATTAGAAATTCAGAAGACGCAGGGCTGCAGAATTGTGTCCTGTTTGAGTCTGGTCTTGGTGCTCTCAAATATCCAAAAATATACATGAGAAACTTTGTTTGCTTGTCAAAACTTGCATGCAGCGCTGTATAAACAGAATATGGTAGATTCAGCAGTATCATGTTTGGATGAAGACATTGATGCCTCCTGTTTCAGCCCCCAGCCCGCCTTTGAGTTTGTGGTTGGTTGGTTGTTTTTTAAAGAGCATTTTGTCTGAAACATTTAGCACATGCCAATTCTACTGCATCTCCTATCTGTGTGTGGGAAGCATTCCAAGATTTTTTAAAAAAAATAAATCTCAATATGAAACCACTATTCAAGATGAACACTCCCAGAGATGTTTATGACGAATGAAGTATGCAGTAATGTGGCTCCAAAGTCAAATAATAAACTTACACTGCAGAGAAATTCTGATTCTGTGCCAGGACACAGGTTTATTGTTTCACAGATAACATTGCATGGAAGCATCACTGTGACTCATGGGTACTGGAAGAGCAGAGACAAAAGTGTTAGCTTATGGCTTATCACATTTTGTCCTACTGCATTTTAGTGTAAGAAGCAGGGGTTTTAGCAGACATTTTAGGCAATGTCATAGTAAGGCAGAAACCAAGAAGCTACAACATGTTATCAGGATTATCTATACCAGCCGAAACTAGATGGAATCTAGTTTGAATTGAAACAGAGGATGACCTAAAGTGCACTTGTTCTCTGAAAAGTGACCCTGTAAAAATGACATTGTTTATGGAAGAGGTGGTTCCAGGGTTGCCTTTTCAGCAATTTCCAGAACAAATCTGCTCAGTTTACAAAAAAACCCAACCAAACAGAAAACACACACATGATCTGTCAGAGATAAAAGCTGTGTTCTTTCTGGCTCACTGTATTATTACCAGTGTATGACTATGCAAGGCAGATTACACACCCAGTGATCCCCGTGCCTGCCTTGAATACCTTGGAGTTGCATGGTTATAGCCGAAGAAAGAATTTGAGCCTACAGTTGGAACTTAGTTGACAATTCTGTTGAATGATAATTCATACATCAGAACAGACTCCAGCTCATTCTCCCATAGCTGCATTGATTCTGCATTGCCAACTGGAGTAAAAAGGAGCACAAATTTTCTGTTGTTTTAACTCCGCAGATATAATTCAGAATATGCACATGGGGAGAAATTCAACCACATGTAGAGGATCAGAACAAGGTGTATACACCATTGAGTAAAAAGGTACCATTTTTACACAGTCACTATTAGTCACTTTTCAAAGCAGAAATGTATTTTTAAGGATTCTTTCCCTCTGGCTTAGATGATCACTTTTTAATTTTTTAGTTGGCCTTGAAATTAATTTGCATCCAAAAATAATATCCCCAAATGTGGAGTCACCAGCAGAATGACCCTGCTCAGTGTTTAAAATTGGGTTCTCAAGCTTTTTTCAAAACACGGAGCACACATCCTAGAGGAAATGTCTTGTGGATGCCTCCCCTGCCAATTACAGCCTACTGGTAAATATAGCAATTGTTTACATGGAACATAAATCACACTAAAGGAAGCTAAAAAATACATTATCAGCTGGAAACAAGAAGGAACCATGGCATGTCCCCAGCCAGCTCTCTGTGGGCTACCAGCAAGTGCTTCATGGACTACCTGTGTTCTGGAGACCACAGTTTTGGAGCTACAGTTTAAAAGCTTGCCGTTGGTTCCTGTCTTTACTTCCCCCTCCCACGACTCCTCTATTAACATTTCTGCACCTTCATAGTATCAAAAAGAAAGTCATGGTTTTGTTGTGCATGTTGTCAACTCAGTACAGGGGCTAAAAAACCCACAGTGTACATAAAAAAGAACAGCTTATATTATCCAGTAAAAAAATGCAGCCATATGGAAGTTTTACTATTCTGAAGGAAAATCATCCACCTATGGTACAACTTGGTGATATAAATGTGTGTGTGTATATATACAAACCAGCACTTTAAACCACATGCATCCCTGATGCAGCACAGAGGAGAACAGAAGGCCCAGAAGCTCAAGAAGGGTCCAGAGGGTAGATGCTCATTTCTTTTCCACATGACATGAATGAGTCAGCAAAGGCCCTACATAGTAAAAGTGGAGTGTGTCTCTTGTACAAAGCGTGGGATGAGTTGGAAACAAAGGTCCATGTGCCATAATTCTTGTCAATGATCCTATATTACCTCTGTAGTAGTAATGGTCAGCATGGACTCTATTGTCCTCATCAAAAAACAACTGTGGGGTGACAGCCAGTGTGACAGATGTGCTGCTACTGATTAGTGAAAGGGAACTGGGGGCAGTGATTAGTTGTAGGTGTTGCACTCAAGTGGTTACGATCCATAGGGCTGGTGCACATGTCTGTATTCCAAGAGGTCTTATTCATTCAGCACCTCTGGACCCAACCAGGAGGAAAGACTACAGCATGGAGGAAAAAAGGCCATGGCTCTTATCAGGTAAGATCTCTCCTTTACATGGGAAAGGGAGAATACAGTTCTAAATTCTTAGTTACTATTTTTTAAAAAAACAACACAATACTAAACTCAGAATCTGTTTAAACATTCAATAAGTTGCTTCCTGATCAAAACTGCATTTCCCTACAGGAAAAACAAAGGTATTTAAAGAAAATGTGAAAAACTTCTAATGAGCCCTAAGAACTAAATCTTAGAAGTTCATTCCCAAAGTGATACTGCAATCGATTCAGAACAGTGAGGGGGTTCTTAAAATAAAATTGTAGTGACTAGCTCTTGCATTTAAGGGTGCAGAGTTAGAGGCTATTTCTACCCCGTTTCTGAGGTAATAAGCTGCTTTGTTAAAAACATATTGGTGTAAGTTATTCAGCCAGAAAAAACCACAGTGACTTCATTAACGTGGTGAGAAACTGAACAGTCTGTGCCACACTGAGTCGTAAAAAATATCATAGTTCATCATGATTTTTTGTGAGATCTTCCCCATAATTGGTAGCTTGGCTGCCAACAAACATGTTCCAGTTCTCTAGAATCTCCTCTTTGGTTAACTTTTGATCCTGAGAGGAAAAAAAAAAAAAGTCTCTATTAGAACATTTTAAATACCAGGTAAAAGAAACATCAGTACAGGTTTCCGAGATGCCAAGTAGGAGAAAATTCTCCAGAGGCTGCAGACAGTGGGTGAAATGCTGGCCCCTAGTGGAAGTCAATGGCCTAACTCCCACTGATTTCACTAAGGTCTGGATTTCACTCAAAGTATTTCATAATTAACTGATTCCTACACAGAACTTTCAGCAGTAGGAGTGTGCCACTCCTCTACTTGTGCAACCTCACCTGTGTTTTTAACTTTTTCTTTTTGATTATTAATATGAAAAATATTTTGTCTGTTTGTTTTTGGTGATGATGATCACCTACATTTAACAACTGAAGGGAAATCCTTCTAAATTCAGCTCTATATAAGGGAGTCTTGATCTTCCAAACTCCAGCAGTGGAGCATCAGCAGGGTTGAGAGAGGGGAACAATCCTGCTGAGCAACGGCTCCTAACCAGGTGCTGCTGAATTATTAGTCCCCGGTCATAGTGGACGCAGAAGGGATGGGCCAGATCTTAAGCTGCAAATTTGTCTTATTTCTTATAGTCTTCTATTTTTCATCTCTCTCCTATTTATCTCTTAGTCTAGTTTAATACATAAATGTCCATGTCCATTTCAAAAGAGAAAAATCTGTTAGAATTTTTGGGTGTAGGGACATAGGTTGGAAAGCTCTCTAGCACTTGGTCAGCCAGTGGACCTACCTGAGTTCATAGTCATTTTATCAGCTATTCCTTTTGGTTTCTAACTTTTATCAACTCAAATTTATTTTGTTGCAGTAAGGCACGAGCAGAATCATTTTTATCATCTTTAGTTCTACTCAGACTGTACTAATAAGAAAAGTCATTAAGAATCATCTCTTGCTGGCTGAACACTATGTAAAGGGAACCAGTTAAACTCTTAATATAACATTTATTAAATATACCAGAGCAATGAGTACCTTGTCTACATCCGATTCATAGACTAAGTGCCTAGCTTCAGCTTGTGCGTGATCATAGTCTTGTGGGAGAATCCAGTGCCGAATCTCCTCTTTATCCATCTTCCCATCCTTGTTTATATCCCGAAAATCAGAAAACTGCTCACGTTCAGTAATTACCCAGTCAGGTTCTGGTCCACCTTCCTCATGTGCAAACATATCAGCTGGAGGGGAAACAAAAGGTTTCAAAGTCCTGTTTAGCTTGCAAATTGTGCACAAAATGAAGGCAGGCTGGTAGCAGAAGTATCACAGTAATAGCTTGCACAGAGGTATTGTATGTTGTGTGGGGCAGGGCATAGGTGGAAAAGGAATGGGCACATGGATATGCACCTTGCTTCGCTCAAATGGTTCACCATTGTTAGTTTTAGCCATTTTCATATCCCCCTTTTAGGATGCCTGTGCAATGCCACTTAAGTTAATGGACAGTCCCAGCTGTAACTGAAAAGCAAATGGGCCCCAAATGTCTTCACCTAGTGATTTTTTTTACCCAGGTTACAAGCAAGGCGTACAGCTCTTCTTCAGGATCCTCTCTTAATCTGCACTCACGCTCTTTCAAGATGAGCTCAGATGTACTGGGGAAGGGGGAGAGGACCCACAGCAGCATTGCATCTTGTCCCTGCCAGCAACTGTCTTTGTCGATAACATCAGAATCCAACCAGAGAGTGGATGAGGGAATAAAAGGTGCAGGGAAACTTAAGGAAACAAAAATCTGCTAAATGGAACTGGATGGCTTTTGTCCTGCTTTTATGGAAGTCTCTGTGTAAGAGAAATACAGCTGAGTAGATACGTTGCTTTTTTAGCCCTGGACTACTGAACAAACTGCAGCAAACTGCACTGGAAGGTAAGGGGCTGCGCTATACTAGGAAAGGATTAGAAAAGTTGTGATGCAGCATGAGTAGATGTACATCAGAGAGGTACCTACTGTGTGGAAACCACACCTTATGGACATGATACAGCTCACTCATCGGCGACCTGGGCTAGGGAAACAACTTGTGATAGACAGTGGATGATCAGTTCTGTTGCTCATTGCCCTGGTCCTCCCATCAGGACTCGCACACCAATCAACTCCCCCTCTCAGCGAGGCTCATTCTTTCCCACCCCCGCACCTCTACCATTGTCCTATTTAAAACTGAAACCTATTTTGTGGCCTCTGCTCGCAGCCCAATGTGGTTTTGGTTGTCAAGATTGTTCACATGTTCCTAGGTCAGGCTAAGCTTGAGGCCAGTTTCACCCATGGGAGGTGCAGGTGCAACCCTCTTGAGGATTTGGTCCAAAATTAGCAATAAAAACCACATGCATGTACTGTATGAGGCTGGATTCTCCACTGCCATAAGTGGGCGTAACTCCCAGGACATTAATGGAACTGCGTATGCCCATTTTAGTGGGAATTTGGCCCACTCTGTCTAGGTGTTATAAACACAAATGGGAATTTTTAGTTTCTAAACTTTCTTGGGACCTGCTCCAAAGCCTATTGAAGTCAGTGGAGAAGGGTCAGTGCCTTCAATTGACTTTAGATTGGGCCCTTGATGGGGGGGGAAACACAAGCTGTGCAATGTCTGTGGGGAATTTTTGTTTGTTTGTTTTTAATCTACACACAGCAAAAATGTGGGTATGACGGACTATAGCCATTGTTTAGAACAACAAAAAAATACTACTCTATTTAGTCTAATCAAAGCATATACGATAATTTAGGCACAGATTTTCCCAACTGTTCAAGAAAACTTCAAGAACTACACAGTGTTACTCTTTATTTTATTTTCTAATAAGTGCAAGCGCACAAGAGTTACGTTGTTTATTTGAAGCAACTGACACGTCCTGTCAATTTGATTTTATCATCTTTGCCAACGTGAGGTGGTCGTGACAAGAACATTCTATGCTCCTATCTATAGGAGACAAGAGGAACCAGCATTCACATGGTAACGAATGTTGACAACTACCTTGTAATTATATGTAGGTAGTGTCACTGAATAAACTTAAATTACTGGGGAAATTATGCTGCTCTGTTATTTCAATCAGACAAAAGCATTCACATCTTAAGGCTAAATATAATTTCAAGGAATAGAACCCCCTACCATTAATTAAGGTGTGGATATTGTTCTTAATTGTGTGTGATGAAGTAATCTTTACAGTAGCATTAGAAACAGAAAGATTTTATCTGAGTTTGGTCCACTGCTTTTATGGTGCGACTTTCCTGATTAAAAAAATAAATTACAAAGGGGCAGAGTGAGACGCTAGCTTCAGCATGACATTTCACAAGTGTAACACGTACATCTTGTACTGCTGAACCCCAGTCTTATGCTGCCACTGTGCCTTCCTGGCTCTAAGAGCAAGAAAGCAAACAAAAAACCCAAAGGTGCCTGAAGTTTGACCAAAATAACTTGCAAGAACAGACCTGCAGTTTACTTTCCCATTCTGCTCTCTTTGTGCCACTAGAGTGGTGCACAGCTAACCTTTAATTCAGGTATTTCACAACTTTTGAGTGCTTGCCTTTGCAAACTTAATGTCCTGGTAACCGTTTATTTTTAATGCAAATTCTTAAGTTTATAAATATGTAAAAATTGAAAAACCAAAAATTCCATCCTGTGGAACCATACTAATCCCCCACCCCCCATCATCAGCAGGATTGGGATCCTTTGAGCTACACCACTGTCCTCTACTTGAGCTAACAGAATAATTGGTGGTAGTGCTATGAGGTGATTAAAATAATTAATCATGATTAATCGCACAATTAAAATTTTATGATTAATCGCATGATTAATCGTGCTGTTAAAAATAACAGAATACCATTTATTTAAATATTTTTGGATGTTTTCTACATTTTCAAATATATTGATTTCAGTTACAACATAGAATACAAAGTGTACAGTGCTCACTTTATATTTGTTTTTATTACAAATATTTGCACTGTAAAAAACAAAAGCAATAGTATTTTTCAATTCACCTCATACAAGTACTGTAATGCAATCTCTTTATCATGGAAGTGTAACTTACAAATGTAGAATTATGTACAAAAAAATAACTGCATTCAAAATAAAACAATGTAAAACTTCAGAGCCTACAAGTCCACTCTGTCCTACTTCTTGTTCAGCCAATCGCTCAGACAAAAAAGTTTGCTTACATTTGCAGGAGATAATGCTGCCCACTTCTTGTTTTACTGCATCACCTGAAAGTGAGAACAGGCGTTTGCCTGGCACTGTTGTAGCTGGCATCACAAGATATTTATGTGCCAGATGTGCTAAAGATTTGTATGTCCCTTCATGCTTCGACCACCATTCCAGAGGACATGTGTCCATGCTGATGATGGGTTCTGCTCGATAACTATCTGAAGCAGTGCGGACCAACACATGTTTACTTTCATCATCTGAGTCAGATGCCACCAGCAGAAGGTTGATTTTCTTTTTTGGTGGTTCGGGTTCTGTAGTTTCCGCATCACAGTGTTGCTATTTTAAGACTCTGAAAGCATGTGCCACACCTCATCCCTCTCAGATTTTGGAAGGCACTTCAGATTCTTAAACCTTGGGTCGAGTGCTGCAGCTATCTTTAGAAATCTCACATTGGTACCTTCTTTGCATTTTGTCAAATTTGCAGTGAAAGTGTTCTTAAAACGAACAACATGTGCTGGGTCAGCATCCGAGACTGCTATAACATGAAATATATGGCAGAATGCAGGTAAAACAGAGCAGGAGACACACCATTCTCCCCAAAGGAGTTCAGTCAAGAACTTAATTAACACATTTTTTTAACAAGCGTCATCAGTATGGAAGCATGTCCTCTAGAATGGTGGCCAAAGCATGAAGGGGCATATGAATATCTGGCACATAAATACCTTGTAATCCCAGCTACAAAAGTGCCATGAGAATGCCTGCTCTCACTTTCTGGTAACAATGTAAATAAGAAGTGGGCAATATTATCTCCTGTAAATGTAAATAAACGTGTTTGTCTTAACGATTGGCTGAACAAGAAGTAGGACTAAGTGGACTTGTATGTTCTAAAGTTTTACATTGTTTTGTCTGAGAGTACAGTTATGTAAAAAAAAAATCTACATTTGTAAATTGCATTTTCAGGGTTAAGAGATTGCACTACAATACTTGTATGAGGTGAACTGAAAAATACTATTTCTTTAGTTTATTTTATTACAAATATTTGCACTGTAAAGTGAGCATTATACACTTTGTCTTCTGTGTTGTAATTGAAATCAATATATTTGAAAATGTAGAAAAACATCCACAAATATTTAATACATTTCAATTTGTATTCTATTGCTTAACAGTGCGATTAAAACTGCAATTAATCTTTTGATTTATTTTTTTAATCGTGATTAATCTTTTTGAGTTAATCATGTGAGTTAACTGCGATTAATCGACAGTCCTAATTGGTAGCAGTAGAAGGCTGTTATCTTATATGGACTGGGCACTAGAAAGAATGGAGAGGCCCATTTTCTCAGCGGGTTTCACAGCTATTTGCTAGACAGCAAAGGAATGATGAGACTCAAATAAAAGGTTCAATTCTAGTTCTGTAAGGGAGTGTTTGCTAACGGTTATAGACTCTTCTGCCCCAGTTTCTCCCTGTTCTCTTCTGCTTCTAGCCCCTGCCCAGCTTCTGCCCCTGTTTCCCTGCTGCCAGTCCCCAACCCCTGCTCCTGGCCTTCCCCAGCTCCTCCTCTTGTGTCCCTTCCCTGTCTCCTTTCCATCTCCTCCCTCTGCTTCTGCCCCTTACCCAGCTCTTGCCAAGACCCCCTACCTCCAACAATCCCCAACCTGCTTGTATCCTTCCCCCTCCAGCTCTTGCTCTCCCCCCCCCCCCCCACCACGCACACTCACAATTTTCCATCCTTGGCTCCTGTCTCACTGAGCATTTTGTTCTTATCCCACCTCTATATCATGTCCCACCTCTGCTCCTGCTCCAATCCACTTCCCTGCCACATGTCAACCCCTCCTCTGCCTACCCACTCTGCCTCCTCCCCCTCGCGTTCCCTCTGCACTCAAGGAAGGCTCCTCCATGCTGCCTGGATTCCAACAAGGAAGCGTTGACATCACAGCAGGGAGCCCAGGCTCTTGGGAGGAACAACCTGCCCCCAGCTCAACCCCTGCAGCCCAAAGGTGGAGAATGATCAGTTACTATGGGGATGGCAGCTGAGCAGAACTGCCTGAGGATGAAGCATGGTCAGCGCAGATGGAATCTTCAGAGAATTTAGTTGCCAAATGCTAGCAAGACTGAGCATATGTGAACTGTGATTTTTTTCAGAGACTTGTAATTTGGCCATATTTTCACAGGTGTTGCAAAAGGCACATCTCTGATGAGATGCTGACCCTTTCCACCCCTCCCTCGCCAAATTTCAAGTCTTCACTCCAAAACATGAAAGGACTAGAGCGTCACAAGGAAACAGTTGTGTGGGGGGGGGAAATTAACATGGGAGAAACAACATTTTTCTCTAACCTTTTCCTTGGAAATGGCTGAACCATTTTAGCTGACTTCCCCGGGGGTGGGAAGAGGACAACACAACTTTTAGGCAGACATCGGGCATGGAAAAAAAATCAGCCCTCACCATTTAGGTTTGCCAAAGTTATAAGAAACTAAAAACAGAGTCTTATAATGGAAAGCATTAGGCAACCTTTGCTATAGGTGTCACTATATGCCTAAAATTGAAAGAAACTATTTGGTTTTCCTTGTTCAGAATGACTGAGTATGGGCATGGAGGTGCTCTTCTTTGTGATATAAGAATTGACTTAGATTTGAGGGGATGGACTGGTGGAGTGGAGATTTCTAAAGTACTTGTGCTAAATGTTAAGGAGAGTCAACTCCATTCCAGCACTTACCAATGTATTCGTCTTGATCCACAAAACCATCCTCGTTTTTGTCTATGTCCTCCAATGTTTCCTGGAAAACATTTTTTTGTCAAAATGATCAAGAAATAACAGAAAATTCCAATAGCTGTCTTTATTATTGCGTGCCACTTCTCAAAATTATCAAAACTGAAATCCTAAGGGAAATCCTGAGTTATTGTACCATGTTTGGCTATCCTCACTGCCCTTTTGGAAGATTTCACATTTGGTATATGGCCTCCTTTAGTATTCCTGGTACACAGAAATCTTGACACTGACCAACTCCAATGTGAGTTTCGTATTCAAAGGAATGCCCAGATCTCCTGTCAGAGTGAAGAAATTCCATGCGTATGAATGGATTTGGCCACTTTGCTGTTAAACTATCTAGGTGGCACCAATCACTCTTGTATCTAGACACCAACTCCAAGTTTTAAGTAAGGGCTTGTCTATATACAAACTTGCACCAACAGATATAAATCAGATTCTATTCACAACTCTGCTATTCCGGTGAAAGTTGGTGCCATGGATACTTTTATTCCTTTTTTTTTTTTTAAACTCTAGTTAAATAAGAGTCCTATTTCAGTTTATTAATTTCACTGCAACTCTATGTGTAGACAAGCCCTAAAAGAAATGAATTCCATGAAGCACTTTCTTTTCTGTTTCTGGGTTGGCTATTATTTATGTGCATGCCTGTTTCTAAAATCCTTCAATGAAAGTTTAGGGAAGTGCATCAAGGGTCATCAGAGGAATAAAAACAAAGGGAATGCAATTGGTTTTACTCTACTTACTAAGACGACAATGTCTTTCATATGCTCAAACTCCTCCGGATGAAGAAAGGCAGTGAACTCCTCACGAGTGGCAGCTGAGTCTCCATCTAGGTCTGCAGTTTTGAATCGCCTTTCATCCCTGGGCAGCATTTTTTTAAAACTGTGTTGATCAGTCGCATCTTGAAATTCTTCTGGATTTTCTAGAAATTAATTTGACAATCTCAGAAGTGTGTGTCTCTGAAAATATTGCTGCATTGTCTCCATACACTGCAATGATCATGTATAGAAAAACCTGCTGAAATACTTAGATCCTGCAAGATTCTAAAATTACAATAATTCACTGTCAGGATGGCTGCTAAAGTGTCAGGATTTCCCTTGTGAAATCTTAAATTCATGGCCAGCCATTAAAGTGTGTTTGTGATCACAGGGTTTGTGCTTATGAATGACTGGCTCAGTTTAGTAGTAATTGTGGTCTACAGGTGGACAAGTGGAATTTACCATGAACTAAGAAATTAAGAGTCTCTTAAGGTCCACGAACAATCACTGTCGTTCAGATCCAGGTTAACTACGTATCTGCTAAGTCTTGTACAGAGCTTTAGGCTGTTGCTGTATAGGGCTGATAAGGTAGTTAAGAGTCTGTATCCCAGCTTGTAGGAGGGAGGTGTTTGTTCTGTTTTTTGACACGATCTTGTTGCATAGAATATACAGGATTTAGAGAAGTAGGTTCCTCTGTTTAGCAGGGTACAGTGCTGCCACCTTTGCCCCTTCCTGCTGAAAGTGTGTCTTATAGTGTTTAGGGCCCAATTCAAACTCCATGGAAGTCGTTCTGCATCAATCTGTTGACCCAGAAGCTTTTATCACTCAGTCTTTATCTCTTACGTCTGTGTCACTTAAGAGTCCCCAGTGCAGGTTTCTGCAAGCAAATTTTGATTTGATAACATTTTTCAATGATGGAAATTGGTTTCTGTTTACTCTATGCTTTTGACTGTGAAATCCTTTATGTCTGGGCCAAGCAGCTTCAAGACTGTGATAAGCACAAAATTAACCGTGTCCTTGTGTTCCTGCACGAAGAGATGTCTTGCCCAAGTCTGATTGTGTAAGGATTCCACTGGTCTTTTAAAGGTTATTAACGACATGTGAGCAGTTTAGAAAAGCTCACTTATCTTTTTTGGTTTGGTTTGTTATTTTTTAAAAAAAGAAAAGCATTATCTAGTATCTCTAAAAAGAAATCAAAGATTTTATATTGCAAATCTCAGCCATCCAGCATCACAGTGATGAATGCAGTATAAAACGCCTAGCTAGATTAAACTTACCATCTCCAATTCCTACATCATGAATAAGGCTATGATTTGGTTATGGAAGTCACGGAAACCGTGACTTAAGTCCGCAGTGGCTGGGAGCTGCAGGGGACCCCCACCTCCTGTGGTAGCTGGGAGCTGCGGGATGCCCCTGCTGCCCGGAGCAGCAGGGGCCCCACAGCTCCCTAGCTGCCGTGGGCAGGGGCGGGTCCCCTGCATCTCCCCACCTGCCACGGGCGAGGAGAGGATCGCCTGCAGCTCCCCAGTCCCCGCTGCCATTGGGAAAATCCCCCAGAGCTCCCCCATCCCCTGCAGGTGGCAGGGGACTCCCAGAGCTCCGTCCCCATGGGCGGTGGGGGATCCCCAGCAGCTCCCCAGCCACCATGGGTGAGCATGGGGGGTGTCCCCCACAGCTTCTCAGCTGCTGTGGGCAGGTCCCCATGGGTTCAGGGGAACCCCGGAGCTCCCCAGCCACTGTGGATGCGGGGGTCCCCCACAGCTTGCAGCCTGGAGGGGGGAATCTCCCAGAACTCCTCAGTCCCAGGGCAGGGGGGATCCCGCAAAGCTCCCAGCCACAGCAGGGCAGGGTGCTGGATCCTCCTCCCTCCCCATTTTATCATGTACATTTTTAGTAAAATCAGGGACAGGTCAAGGCTTCTGTGAATTTTTGGTTATTGCCAGTTACCGGTCCATGGCTTTTACTAAAAATGTCCATGACAAAGATCATAGCCTTAATCATGAATGATTCGCCTGTTCCTTCTCCTGTTCTCCTTTCAGAGCCATCCATTCTTGTTCCTCCATTCATATTTGTTAGGTTTGTCAGATGGTCTAATTTTGGTTTTAAGGGAAGTCTCTTGTACCAATTTTTTTTAAGCAATGATTCTGTGGGCACTTGAATAGAACTTTCTTGTCTTCCCCACAGCTTCTGCCTGACCAGATGGCTGCTGTGCTGAGAATGAGTTTGAAAGCGCCTGCCTATGTCACCTTTTTTACCCACACTTTTGCTGTCTGTCATACTTTTGCAAATCTGGAACGGAGTAGAATCCTCAAATTCAGTGGAAGATTCCAGCCTGAAACTTTCCATTTCTTTCTATTACTGACAGTTTTTTTTCAGGCACAAGGCACAGAGCTCTTATAAAACATATTCAGTGAATAGCATTGGGTTCAGCCAGTCCTTTCTCCCGCAGCACAGGACTAGGAGCTACCTGGTAACGGTCAAATTCTCACATTAAAGTATTTTGTGAGTTTAGTTTAATGTGATCTGTAAAAACGGTGTTTCAATATTTAGTATAGTGAAGCAATTTGCACTGTTCAATCTAATCTGCTCAATTTGTCCAGTTTTAGAAACAACAAAACTGAAGAGACTAGGGAGATCTGGTTTCAGAAACTGGCAGACTCACTAATGTTTATTTAGCAGCTACCTCTCTTCGAGGTGGAACCTAAAAATTATTTTTGTTTAAAACAATGAAATTTAAACTCAGTGGTATGAAACGAATGAGAATTCTAGAAAAATAGCATCACTAAACTCATTAAAAATCTTGAAAAACAATTTCAAAATGAAGGCGTTTATAGACTCATCTGATTTTTAAATGACTACTTTGGGAAATGGTTCTGTGAATTTTAATTGTGCATTAAAACAAGATCAAGATATATTTACCGCTGTCTAAAGCCTGGCTCTCACACAGGGTGAAATCTGTGTGTAGAAAGCCAGCACAAGACTGGGCACATCCTGAATCTCACGCCCTCAAAATGGGATCAAAGTGGTGCAAAAGAATTGTGCTGACCCTCTGCCCAGACATGAATTTCATCCAGAGCAGTGTGAGGTAGCCTTTGCGTTTGTAGGAGGCCTTTTCCCCCAGAATGAAAGTCAGTATGTTGACATATACTTCAATCAATACCTTCCTTCAAGTGCTTTGGATCTCTCTCTGATTACAACGTGCCCTAATTAAAGAACCTTCAGATGGTCTCCTTTGATCACATCTGAAATCTGTACTTTTTTTTTTATAAGATGTGAAGTAGAATATTTCAATTGTATCTCATTTAACCTTTCGTCATCAGTTATGAACTTTTTTTCTTGTGTAATCATTTTAAAAACATATGTATGCCATTTTCATTTTAAAAAATTAAATGCAGAGGGAGTTAACTTTTCAGAGTGAATTCAATGCTTATGAAGGGGCTTGGGTTTATGGCCCTGGTGAGAATTGGAGTATCAATTGTAGCAGCACAAGTTCCCTCACCCCACCCAAATATGTATCAGCCACATGATGGAGGGTCCACATCTATCTTGGAAGGAGAAGAGAACCATATTCATTCAGGACCTGGCTTCAGTCGGCTTTGGATCAGGCCCTCAATCCAAAGCCTTGCTGTTGAAACTGCAAACAGAAGTGCTGGTTTCAATGGTGGACACTTGCCCAATAAGAACTGGACCAAGACGCCCCGACCCCAACATATGCCATCCAATATCTGTACGTGAAACACACTAAAACTCAACTGTTGAACTGTTGTCATATCAAACACATCAGATTAAGTTTTCCATGGGGACAAAAGAAAAGAATCATGTCTTTCAAATAAACATTGCTTTAGGGGTTTCCATTTATAATTAATCATAATCTGTGGCATGTTCTGACAGAATAATTACATTCTATTTAGACCTTACATAAATTTTTAGCATCCAGACCATAACTTCAGAGAAACAGTGCAGCAAATACTTACTAGTCTCTCAACGTATTTCCTTTTAAAATAAAGGTTTAAAAATAACAACACAGTTCCCTTAGTTTACTAATAGGAGCAGAGGCTTTTAATTTAGCTTTGAAATTTTATTCACTTGTTTGTCCCCTCCTGAAATCCCTATGCATAGAGAAGGTGACCGTGGTGCAGATTGGCTATATTTTTCAAATGCACAACTGAGGAACTTTTGATCTTTGAACTATGTTAATTTACAATTTCATATGAGACTAGAACCTCCTAAGAGAGTTACGTGCTTGTGTCCAGTGATTTTGGTTGAAATTTCATGTCTATCTCCCTAAGGCTTTTTAGAAAATTCCAACCTAAAATGTTGCCTTTTGACTAATCTTACCTAGATAATAACCATACGTGGCTTGTTTGTATTCTTCCCAGGATATTTTGTTATCCTTGTTTAGGTCATAATCTCTCCAGACTTTAGCCACATTTTCATAGATGTAGCGTTTCTGCACTCGCTTAATCCAGTTTTTCAATTCCTCTGTTGTGACGTAGCCATCATTGTTATCGTCTATTCTATCAACAATTTTCCTGCAAAGAGAGACACACCTTTAACAGCTGGTAAAAAGAAATAAAATGTACATGCTGGTCCAGCTTTGCTAATCTACATGAGACCTTGACTGTGTCTGCCCTCCCTCCACAAAGAGGTACCAGCCAAAGATGTAGAGAGATGCCCTATCACTAAGGCTTCATTACATTTACAGAATATACTATAGGACATTTGCTAGTACACTGCCATCAATAATTAAAACTGAACTATCATTGTCAAAATTGATGGACCGAAGAACACAGGGTGATGTACTGTCCTTAATTTTTTTATTGTCTGATCACATAGGGGCAAATCTTCTGTTCGGTGTCCAGAGACAGTGGCCATGCTGAGCTGTTAAGCGGAACGTATCTTCCCGTCAGGCCATAGAGAGCCTGTCATCTTGCACAGTGGAGGTTCCTATAGCCCGAAGCCCACGGGAGTTTCTGCACTCCCTTGGGTGGTCTCCTTGTAAGAGGGTATAAGGATTGGATGATCTACACAGGGCTTTGTGCAGCGCACAGGATACACAACACCTGCACAGCCCCTCCCCTCCAATCTTGCCCCCCACTTTTTTGGGGGGGAAGAGAGAGGATCTGCACTAACTGTGTTGCCAGGAGACCCTCTGTAGCAGGGGCAGGATTGCCCTCTGTCACTAATTCATCACATTGAGTAATCTGCAATGGGTCTCCAGTCACTATTGCCCATTGATGTCAAAGCCTGCACCTGAGCAGTGCTGAGAGCCCCTAAGTCAGTAGGAGTTCAGGGCCTCAGAAATTCTCAGGAACCTCTGCACCTTGCAGGATCAGGCCCTAAGCAAAGCTCTATTGTAGTCAAAAGCTAAGCTGCCAAACTATGCAAAGAGGGCAACTCCCTTAACCTTTTAGCTTCTCCCAAAATAAATTTTCCACAAGTTATTTTCCTTACAGATTAAAAAAAGGAGATGGTATTTCATTACTCTATCAACTCAATGGCACGGTAGTGAGCCGTTGGTTTTTTTGTGCTTTCTGACACATCTCGCTTACAGACATCTATGCCTATACGTTGCTCTCACCAGAGGTTTATTTGTAGGGAAACATTTGCAGTATATTTAAATCTCTCCATTACACTCAACAGTGTAAAAACACTATGAAACCCCTTCTGTTTATACCTGCAAGGAGACCACAACTTTGCCAGTGCATGAGAATCTAAATGTGAAGGTGATGTGTTTATTTTTACATTCCAAGCTGAAAAAAATGCAAAAAGAAAACAGTACGAATAATGAATAGTACCTTTACTAAATAAGAAATAACTAAAAGCAATGTGTGTTATGAAGAACACTGGTCAGGTCTTTTCCTTTTTTCAAATATTATTTTTAGTGTCCTTAATATTTAAAGTAGGATTCAAAAGAGCCAAATTCTGCTCTCAGATTCAGGAGCACAGTTCCCATTAAAGTCAATGGAAGTTGTGTGTGTATTGCTAAGGGCAGAACTGTGCCCTTTGCATCTTGTTCACTAGCTAAGGGTATGGCTACACTACGCAGCTTTTAGCAACATGGCTGTGCCATTAGAAGCTGCGGAGTGTAGATGCTGTTTGTCTGCAGGAGAGAGCTCTCCTGCCAACAAAAAATTTCCACCCCCCTACGAGCGAGCGGCAGCGGCTTTGTCGGCAGGAGAGCGCTCCTGCCAACAAAGCGCTGTTCATACAGTGCTTTTCGTCAGTAAAACTTTTGTCGTTGGGGGGGGTTAACACCCCTGAATGACAAAAGTTTTGTCGAGGAAGTGCCAGTGTAGACAAAGCCTAAAGAAAATGTGCCCCAGGCTCTGATTCAGTAAGCACTTAAGCATATGCCTTGTCAATCCCTAATCAGGAAAGCAGCAAATCACATACTTAAGTCCCATTGCCTTCAAGTTAAAGGTAAGCCCCTGGTTAACAGCCTTGCTTAACTGAGGCCTTTAAGGAACCTTAAAAAAGAAAAATGCTCCATTAAACAATTTATATTAGGATATATTTATAGGAGAGAATTATCAGTTAATGGTGTATTTATGACAAGCAAGAGAAATGTGTTTTCTGAAGGGATATTATACTCTACTATACCTAAACTTTTTCCCCAGCAGTATTTCATTAAAACCACCTTGAATTAAGCCTAGTGATGCTACCTTCTGGCCCAAGAACTAAGTTTACTTTAAATCCCTTTACAATCTTTTCTTTCTCTTTCTCATAACATTCATTACCTCTGTCCTCCCAAGACCATAACTATTTGCAGGATGGCCACTAAAATCCTATGACATAAAGCATATGCCAAAGACCACAGAGGCACCAGCAAGATTTATATGAAAACTATTATTGGTATTTGTATACTTTGGGCACTGGTCAATGGAAAAGCGGGCCTCCTGCTCTTGAAATAGGTTAATTAGTAGTCACTGAAGTCTCAGCTGCGAGGTGCTGCCAGATTGGCTTTATTTAATTCAGCCACCACCAAGCAATATAGAAGATCCTACAGAATTATCGAGTCTTCATTGACCCACAGTGAGTTCAACGTAAGTGAGTTGGCTGACATTTTCGGTCAATGAAGACTCGATAATTCTGTAGGATCTTTTATGGAGAAAGGGATGGGTGAGTCTGCCCCTATAACTGCTCCTTCCACCTAGGGCAGAAAATTGCTCTCCATCTAAAGCAGTGTTCTTTTCTGAGCTACTTTAGTTCAATACCAAGTACGGGTTTTATTTAATTTTCAGCAATGATGTGTTTGATCTGCTATCATCATTGGATCTGTAGCACATTACATCTTTACAGATCTCATTACAGACATGGGGTTCAGACACATGCAGAGTCTGTCTTTTGCATTCATAACCAAGACTTTTCTGAAGGGGGCAAAAAGAGGGGCTGCTAAATTTCACCTGAGAAATAGAAAAGAACATGCTACCTGATCAGCCAGCCTTTCCTTTTTGTATGTATCCCCCAGTGAATCTCCCCTGAAAGTCTGACACCACAATGGGACATATGCATCAATATCGTTGTCCCGCAATGTGTTCAACCTAAGTGAGCTGGCTGACATTTTGGTCTACTGTTAAATGCTAAAAGTAACTGAAATGTTTCTGCCAGAGGAAATATTTTACCCTCTTGTTATTTTTAACACTTCCTTGGTATCTCCAGAACTGGTCAGAGCCAAGAGCTGTGCTGCTGGTAGCCAGCATTGTTTATTTTTCCCTCAAGTGCATTCTTCTATTTTTCTAGCTCAGTTGCATCTCTGCTAATGATCTAGATGACCTATGTCTGCTTCCTACTAAAATGAAGGTGGGTAAGAAACAAAGTCTTATGTCTTTTTAAGGATGATGTGGCAAGCGAGCAATAGCCTTCTGACTGCTTTGCAATGCAGCTAAAATTCATTCTTCAAACACAGAAGTTGTAGTGGACCCATTTGAAGTGGCTAATTCTTTAACAAAGTGAAAATTCAGAGAAGGTCTCACAGCCACAATGCTACAGAACCAAAATTATATGCAATACTTGTTAAGCTGTCCCTACAAGCCCATAAAACTAAAAACCTCTTTCTCTCAAGGCTAAAGGGCTTGCTGCACCAAACCGCATATAGTCCCAGCATATAAACCTCAGTGGACCTATGTTCAATATAAGCATTTAGGGGAACAGCCTGCCCCCAGCTCTTTAGCAGTGAAATCAGTTCAGTTCTGTTGTACAAAGGGAGGGCAAATCTGGAGGGACAAGCAGAAAGTGCACAGAACCTGCAAGTGCAGAACCTTGCACATATATGGTAGAGGGGACATTTGGAGATGAAACAAGGAGGGGCCAGACAACTCACAGCTACAATGTGAGCTGAAAGGCGAGGGATTCTGAACCTCAGCCTTTTGTGCGTATGCCCGGTTGCTGGATTGGGTGCCACTGCTGGCTTCTGGCCTGGGTCTGGTGCACAGCAGCAAGATTTGCCACATTGGGCCCCTATATGGTGTCAGAAGCTCAGCAAGCATCTTGCTACCAATAAACAACAGACCTGAATGTCTTATCAAACTAGGATCAGACTACACAGCAGTTTTATCACTGGGCTGGCCTGGAAGGCCTACATGACTCTAAGGCTTATTTATCTGTGGGGGTTTTTTCCCCCCCACCAAGAAAATTTTTCTTCACTAGTAGATGAGCCTACGTTTCGAGTATATTAGTCAACTCTCTTTCGTGTGACAGCAACAGCAGAACATGGCTTTTTTAGGCCATGTCTACAATACAGGCACAACAGCAGCATAGCTGCAATGCAGCAGGTCTGCTGCTGTACTGCCATAGTGTAGACACATCCTACAGGGACAAAAGGAGTTTTTCTGTTACTGCAGCTAATCCCCCTCGCAAAGGCACTAGCTAGGTCGATGGAAGAATTCTTCTCTCAGCCTAATGCTGTCTACACCAGAGGTTAGGCTGGCTTAACTGTGGCACTCAATGTTGTGAATTTTTCACACCTCTGAGTGCCAGAGCTATGTCAACCTAATTTTTAAGTGTAGACCAGGCCTAAGTGTTTCCATTATAAATCAATGGTATACAGCAGACTTTGTTATGTTTATACCCATCTCATTTGTGTGAGAATTACTTGTTAAAGAAGCTGCACTCGGTTTCCTTAAAGAGTTGGGTCCTGAATATTTTTATGCTGAATGAAAAGTGTTTAAAAATAATGTTTTTAATTAAATCTGTCCTCCTCCTTACAGCCAACAGCTTGCTGAAAAGTGATACCATTTGTGACCAAAGCTGCAGGGGATCCTAGCATTAAAAAGCATAAGGTATTTTCTGTTCTGATTTAATAATAAGCATCTTTTTAATATTTAAAGTTCCTCTTCTGTTGCAAAAGTTATTTTAATCAAAAGTGTGAAAAGCAGCAAAAGGCCTAAAAATGCCCAATCGCGTTAGAGGCTTTATTTGCACAGTTTGTGTCCTGTGATGTGTTTTCCACCTTGAGACTGTTCAAAATGCTGGTAAGCATACTCCTGGGGGAATTCTGTGCCAAAAAATGAAAAATTCTGCGCACAATATT